TTATTTTGTTGGGATTAATTTGCATATTTGTTATTGTATATGTTGTGTATATTTTGTAGTATTGAAAAATATTTGCAAAATTAACACACTAAATCCACCCGTATCAGTACACTAAACAAACACTCAATTTTTTTTTTTGAATTCTTCTTTTTCAAGCAAACAAGCAATTACACACAAATATTAACAATATCAATTTCTAAGTCTAGGTCTAACTGGTTCAACTAAAATTCTCCTAAGGAAACTATACCTTTGTTCTCCAGCAACAATGCCAAAAATGTTAATGTAGCTCTAACTTAAGTCTAGATGCACTTGCACTCTGAGGCCAACACAAATGTACTTATCCCTTTTGTAATATAGGACTTTTGAGTCCAGGTAATCAAACACACATGGAACGAGGTGTTTAAGTTTTTGGAAAAGTTCTAGCCTGCTAAATGTGTTCTTTACTTTGAAGTTGAATTGGTTTAAAGTTGTGCTAACTAGTCCTATTGAATTACAAACTACTCTTAAAGGTTTACTCCTACTGAAATCCTACTTAATATGTTTAAATTGATGATAAACAAGTTAGAAAGCTACCTTCCCTTGCAATGATCTAAGTGGAGTGAAGAAAGTGAAAAATTATAAATTGTAAATGAGGCTAGTGACAAATAAGAGAAATACTCTTATTACCCTCTCTAGATTGCATAAATAAGTTTGGTTAAATTTGTTTTAATTCCTTAAACATCAATTTGAACCAATCAAAGAGTATTTTCCTAACATTTTCATCTCCTTGTAATTTACTTGGTGCATACCGTATAGCTCAACGTGACTAACTTAGCTGTTCTTCCATAGCTCTGCTAAGTCATTATGGTGTCACAACACTTTTTAACTAATTACTTGGACAGAATGAAAAGTAAATGAAGACTTAAAGGTTACTCATCACATTAAAGATTTAAAAACAATTTTAAAAGCTTCCTTCATTCCTACACTTCCTACTTAATCACCATACGGAGAAGGTAAAATCAATACTCAGAAAGCATTGAGAAAACACAACAAAGCATCTTTAAAGGCAAGTAAATCCTCTATAGATGTGTGTTTACAAAAATACAAATACAAGAGTACATAATACTTAGCTTAATCCCTTTACAAAGTGCTGAGAATGCTTCCCCCAAGAATCTCTCAAATCCCTTTGCTTCTTTTTTGAACACTTATTTACAATTCAACTCTAAATCCTCACCAATGCTCTTCTAATCTATCCTTCTCCAAAGAACTAACCGAAAACTTGAAGAAGCAGATGAAAAAAACTCCTTCTTCACCAAAGAACACTTTTATCTTGCTGAATAATTCCCCACATGGTGTAGAAGAACTGCTAAAAACTACCCAGACAATTTTTGGAGCCTAGGCATGAGGCTCTCTATCTGCCAGTTTTGGTAGGGGCGTCTAGCCGCCCAAAAATCTAGCGCTAAGGTGCTAGGCTAATGGTCTCTTGGCGCCCACGGGCTTGCGCTTAGGCGCCAGCTTCTCGGGTTCTCAAATGGGGACTCGGACCTAGGCGCCCCAGAAATCTGGTGCTAAGGCGTTGGTCACCTATGTCCTCCATAGCTCCATGTCACCTTCACTTTGCTCCATTTCTTCTCCACTTTGCTCCACTTCTAATATCTGTTATACCTAAAAAAAACATAAAAATATCTTTCTTTAAATTGCAATTTCATTCATAAATATGTGCAAAACATAAAGGAAATTAAGTATTCTTTTCTACACATCAAAATGCTAAATGGGTGACTACATAAAATTAGGTATATACCATGCAAGGATTATTCAAGTATGCTAGATAGGGTTGTTTAGTTGTGTAGGTAAAGCCAAGTCGAGTTCATAGTTTGAGTAGTTAAGTAATCAAAGTTGATGTTAAGCGTTTAGGACTGGTGGTTGAGTAAGTTAAATGAAGTATTTGACTTTAGATGAGTGGTTGACTTATAGGGATACATTTATTTTATAGATTGTCACATGGCCTTTATGCCATGCAATTTTACTTAAGTTGTTGTCAAGTTACTTGTAGTTCATCATATCTTTAGTAGATTGACTTTAAGTTGATCGATGTTTGACCATTTTGACTAAATGGTCCTAGAAGCCTAGGATTATTCATAAATAATTTGTAGCACATTTTGAGTTCTTTTCTAACCATAATTTTTCATCAAATTGTCAATGTTGATCATTTATTGGAATAATAATGCACTATTATCTTAGCCACTTTGATCTCAAATTATTGGTTAGTAATTCCTATATAATTTTTATCAAAATATACCTTAACTTTTTTATTTTATTTTACAAATAAATAAAATTTTCGATTTTCTAACTAATTTAAATTAGTTCTCTTAAATAATTTCTAAATCCAAATCTAAAAATTAGAATTACATTACCTCATTTAAATTTTATTTTAATGGAAACAAATCAAACTATTCATTTTCAACTAAAATAATATTTTAACTGGATGATAATTTTTTTTATTTGGATGATTAAAATGTCCTTTTTATTATGTGGCAGCTTAATCAAGTCACTATTATTTTTTTCCTTTTTACTATTTTAAAAAAATACAATATTCAAGCTCAACTAAAAATAAATAGTTTAAATAAAAAATATTAGATAGATAATATTCAAATATATATTTTAATGACTAACTCGGTGTATCTACATGGGACCTAATAAAATCATTTGAGAATTGGTAAGCTTAAAAAAGTTTTTGCTAAATTTGTTTTATGAATTTTTATTATTTAGCTGAAAATTCCTCGAAAAAAAAAATGAGGTCGAAGAATTTTAGTTTTTAAAATAAGAATGATTGAATGTGTAATTCTGTGATGGTCCCTGCCCCCTAATAACATGTGGATGCCCACACAGCTGCGGCACGATAAATTATTCTATAAGGAGTATGTATTCAGCTTTACGTACGTACTCCAGTAATACACTATTACGACCATGTGTGTTATATCAGACCCACCTAAAAAATTTAAGTGAAACCATGAAGATTACTAGAGTGGAACTGCGGAGGTTATTTGTGAGGGTTATTAAGAGGTTATTGAGAGGATATTGAAACATTAACTCCAAAAACGTCGCAATAAACCCTTAGTAACCCAGTAATAACCCCTCGATAACCTCCGCGATTCTACTCTAATAACCACCTAATAACATCCCTGGTCCTGTTTTAATAACCCCTATATTAACCCATATAATAACTTCCCTATAATCTCCCAAAAATTTTTCAATAATTTTCATAAGTTTATGTTATTAACAACCCTCGTTAACTTTCATGCGGCAGCATATTCATATTATTAGAATGTGCACGCAGAGCTGAATATATGTACTCATGAAAAAATTTCTCGTGCACACACCAACTTTCCCCCGGCGGCACACGCCGACATTCCCCCATTCCCCGTTATCCGCATTACGCGTTCCTCTTTCTTATCATCTTTAACCCCTCCGATGTGCAGCTACACTGCTTCAACACTAGCCATAAGAGCCAAATGCTCCCCCTCCTTTCACTACCTTTGTCTCCCCAACGATCAACCGTTTTGCTGTCACCATCCATGCTGCCAATTCTCTGTAAGCCCTCGTTTTTTCTCCGGATATCTCCTCGGCTTGTCCTCTCAATTCCATTCCAAAGTTCTCTTCCACGCAAGCCGCCGTAGACTTAGGGTTTTCTGCCGGAGTCGGGACTTCGACATGATGCGGCTCTTGGCCGAACCGGAGGAGAGATTTACCGGTTTGGGGGAACCGGACTGGAGGAAAGCGAGGAGGGAAATCCCAATTGAAGGGGAGCGGGAGCGCCGAAGTTCGAAAAAGGAGGAAATAACGGGGATATGCCCTCCTAGGAGTGATGGGTTAAGCTCGGTTTGCGATCCCGAACATAATAAAGTTGGAAGGGGAAGGGCTGGTGGAAATTCCCAGGTTTGTTATGGCAATAGAAAGAAAGACACTGGATATAATGAGGTTGATGTTGCGGAGGAGGAAGTTCGGGATGTGCACAAATATGTTGATGACTCTTGGCGAGAGAGGAGATATATTTCGAAGAGAGATGTTAACCTTGATTCAAGAAAAGATGTGTCTACAAAGAGATGCGATAGTTTTAGGCATTTGGGTTTTAAGAGTGCGGAGGAGAAGACTGCTGATCGTGCCAATTTGTCTCAGCAAGGGACTCTCAGGGAAAGTGGGTTAGATGGAAGATCGAAAAACGTTACAAGAATACCTGAGGCTCAGTTGGACGATGAGTTGGATAATGGCAAGCGAACTTCAGTTTCAACTAATGTGAGGAAGATCCAGAAAGAGAGTTCAGCTTCTGCTACTAGGCAAAATGGTGACATGGATCATCCAGTGGCTGGGCATGATAAACGGCGAAGAAGTTTAGTGGAACAAAGCAAAATAGCACACTTCCGTTATAATGATGCTCAGAGTGCTGCCTATCGTCAGAGAGATTTTGAAGAAAAAAGTATCAGAGGAAGGGAGGAACGAGCCTACTTGGAACAAAATTCATCGCAAGTGTCACGAGATAAAAGAGTCCACTTTCATCGACAAGCAGTCGAGCAAGATGAATCTAGAAGAAGCACACATAGGCTTAATGAAGTTTCATTGTCTCGTGGTAGTGACTTTGAAAGAACTTCGCCTATTGATGGCAAAAGTGTTAATGTGATGGATGCGATCCCTAATCTGGCTCAGGATTCAAGTCAGGAATCCAGAGATAAAAGGTCCCAGATGGAGATGGAATTGCATTTGTCTTTAGAAGACATATCTGAAAAAAGTGAGGATAAGCTAATCATTGCAGGGAATTCAATTCAGTTGAGAGGAGGTGAGAGAAAGCAGATTGATAGAGGAGCTGTTGAGAATGACAAGACACGAAGAAACTCACAGATGCTTGGCGAAGTTTCGGAAGTTTATAGCGTCAACATGGAAGCACTTTCCCTTTCCAGGGAAAATAGGGAGAAATCCTATTCTGTTCAAAGTTCAATTCCTGCTAAAAAAGATAAGGGAACCCAAGTAGAGATGCATGATGCGTATTACGATCAGATTGAGATGCCCGGGTTTAATGCAAATAACATTGTCAATGCAACCAGCTCGTGGAATTCTCCAGTAAGCAGAGTTGATATCCAAGAATATAGCCCTTTTCTGGCTTCTAATCAGATTTCTAACATTAGAATGCAAAATGTCAAAGCAAACAAACATGCTTATCTTCTGTATGATGCTCCAAGGGAATTTGAAAGAAGTGCTAGTGAGTTTGATCTTGAAAGAAGCAATAACATAAGGATTTCTAATGCAAATGAGAGTTATAATTCAAGGACGGAGAATGAAAAAGCTTTTATCTCAACAGAAACCTCTTCTTATGTGTTGACTCAGGAGCAAGAGGAACAAAGAAGCTCCTTAGCTGGAGAGAGCTCCCAACCTGAATCAATGAAAATGACTTCAACAGGTAGTTTACATGCTATTTATAGCCCTCAACACACTTGCAGTGAACTAAACTATGATGCTGGTTGGGGTTACCAAAAAGGCCAATACGACACAACAAATTATTCCACCGGAAAATTAGATAAATCCTCCTCTTCACTTGCTGGCGAGTTTGTTGACAGGCTGCAGAAAGAAGTAGTTGCCCTGAAAGAGTCAGGAAAAACACCTAATGTTTCTGTTGGAATTCAAATAGGAAAACCAAGCAGGAGAGATTTTCAATCAACTTTAAGAATAGAGAATCGAAATAAAACCTCCTCAGCAGTGTTAACTGAAGAAAGAAAGGAGAGACTTAGTAGCCTGTTAGTAGGTGATAACTCGCCGCATAAGGCTCGGAAAATAGCCTCAACTGGAAGCTCAGGTGATGTTTCTAGTTCTGTAAAAATTTACAGTGAAGTGGATAATCATAGTGGCAGGGATGATATCCGCCATTTCACTCATGATACGGTTGAATCTGTCTTTAATAAATCCTCTGTGTTCGGTTCAGATGAGTTTGTTGATGAGATACAACAGGAAAAAATCTCCCTGAACGAGTCAGGGAAGGAGCCTAGTTTATCCAGTAGAATTCAAATTGAAGAGACAGGCAGGAGCCAGAGTGAAGGAACTGCTTTTATGCAAGTAGGTGAACTTTCTGACAGCAGAAGGTATGGAGATGACAGGCACATCAAAGAAGGTGGAAGACTGTCTTCATCTGGATCGGGAATGAGGGGCCCCTCTGATGAGATGTTGGGTGATGAAATCCAATCTTCTCAGGAAACTTCTAATGCAGAAGAGCCTGAAGAGAATTCTCCTACCTCAGAAGCAATGGACTTAACAGCTCCTACTCTGGAAAATGCTATCACTAGGAGGTCTCCTAAATCTTTGTGGTCATTTCTTGCAGACATAATTCAGATGAATTGGATTTTGCGGGGGAATTCTCATAGTTCAACTTTGAAATCCGTTAAAAGAGCTTCATCAAATGAGTCTTTAAGCAGCGAGGCTTGGTTCTCTGGCCCTGAGCCAGATGAGGATGGTTCTGGGGACGAGCCTCAGAAGACGAAACAAATTGGCTTGCTAAAGGATTCAGGAGGGCTGACAGGATCAGTTGAACTTCCTTTGCAAGAATTAAAAAAAGCGGATAGTTTAGCTGTGATAGAACCAGATTCATCAATCTCATCAGGTTTTTTGACAAGTGGCTTATCTGCCAAAACTGATTCCTCATCAGTAGAGGCAGATAACACACAGCATTCAAAATCAAGCCAAGGTACTCTTTCTAATGTTGTCATAGTTGAGCAGCAACTAGAATCAGCATTGCCTTCCACCTCAGGCATTGTAGAGTCAAGAGTAAGGGATAAGGTGAAAGTGTTGAAACTAAGTGCATCTTATCCAGCTGCTGTGATGAGAGTCGGTTTCTCATCCGCTGTAACTCAAGAAACAAGTGCAGAGCAAGGCTCTGATTGACTAGGGAAAGGCGATAATTCCAGTTTGGAAATTTATGAGCCGCTGTTATCATCGACGGTTGATTCATCCTTACCTAGGATTACTGATCCTGAACAAGTTGATAGGCCTGGATTTAGTCCAATGCTGGAATTGGATCCTTTTGGAGACAAGCTACCTGAAGTTGGTGGAATCAAGGAAACAGGGATAAAGCAAAGAAAATTTCAGAGGAATAAACAAGTTCTTAGCGAGCAGTTTGATGAGTGGGAAAAAGCATTTAAGCTAGAAAATGAACAGAAAAAGCTTGACGAGTTTTTCATGAGGGAAGCTATTTTGGATGCCAAGAACGGTTCAGATGCCTGGGAAGTACCTGTTGGTGCTGTGCTGGTGCAGAATGGGAAAATCATCGCTCGAGGCTGCAATATGTAAGTCCCCTCATGAACATTTTTTCTTCTACACACTTTGCTCTTTAGAGGCCAAAAACCAGTTATAACTATGGGCTTGATACATGCAGGGTTGAAGAGTTGAGAGATTCAACTGCGCATGCAGAAATGATTTGCATCCGGGAAGCTTCTAATCTTCTTAGAAGTTGGCGCCTTGCTGTATGAGTCTCCCGTGGCACCTTCATGCATAATTTTAATAAGATTCTTTTCTCAAGTACTCATTTGTCAACGTCACTGATTTATTTTGGGGGCGTTTGATGCTTATTTTAATTTTTCTTTGTTCTTCCTTTCAATTTTTTTTGGGGGATTTATATACATAGAATTAAGATCATTTTTATTTACATATTTAACAACTAATCTTATATTTTAACATAATCTACAATTTTCTCTAATCCATTATTTGAGCTCCATTGCTACTTTCTTTTCCGATCCTATTGATGTGTCTCCCTAACAAGCTCTTTTGTCACTTTCTATGGCAATGTCGTTGATTCCTTGCCCTAGCTCTGTTGTGGTTTCCTTTTTCCCTGTGCCATTGTTGTTGATGCATTGGCCTAGTGAACTTAGTCGTGATTGATAGGTTGCCCTAGCAAGCTTGTCTGTGACTTATGCTTCATTAAATGATGACATGCGACAAAGGCGGCTAGACCACTGATGCTCAGAGGTGGTGGCGGCGACAACTATGGGACCGACAATGTGCAAGATGGGATTTGGTTGTTTTTTTTGAGGTAAATGGTTTTTTATATTTAAAATTATGAGCATTATACGAGTAGTTAATGAAATTTAGTCATTTAAATTGAAAATTGAGTGCTATGTATATAAATCCCCACTTTACTTATCAGAAAATAAACTGCTAGAGTAAAATTTATAAATCAAATAACTTAGAGATATTTTAGACTACTTGATGCTTAAACTTGGACAAGTATTTGGAGTTTTAAGAAAATGCATGTTGCATGGCTGATAAGCTGGGATTTTTATTTTGCTGAATTTGTTACACGCAAGAAAGCAAAGCTAGAATTACAAATATGGAAGATATTCTGTGTTGGTAGTAGTGTATGGAGTTTTTTTTTAGGAGCTTAACCTTGTCCACCAGGTATCTTTATCCAATGCTGCATTTCCACAGTTATCCAACTTAGTTTACTAAGTTCATAATTTGAGCTTATATACTAGATCCCAAATTCTGTATGTGTAAGTTTCAGCAATAACTGGGACCTTTTGCATAGCCATTATTTTTCTTTTCAGAGCTTAAATTGTAACAAATGCTTACTTTTCTATATATGGGCTATGGATATTTAATATTGCGATTTTTCATGTTGGACCTTTCATGCTTGATTATGTACACATGTAAAAAGAATAATCCTTGTTACTTGATCCAATTTGAGTTCTTTGATGTGGTCATGTGTTATCCTGAGAAATGAGATTTTTTTTTTTCATCGCCATTATCATTTGTCTTATTCCTACTTTATGCAAATGTCTTTATGAGTTCTCATGTGCCATGCCATACATTCCTTTTCAGTGCTATTAGAGGTGTCAAATTTATTTTTTCAATTTTTTTTGTGCTTAAAACCTTGCTCACTTTTGTTTGTCATTATATCTTTCAATTTTTTCCATGTTAACTATTCTATTTGTGTATTTGTCTCCTTATTGGGTAGGATCTAGATCTGTTCTCCAAGGTTAGACACACTATGTTCTATAGTTTTGAATTTTCGCAAGAATTATTTTCTTGAAATCTCTCTAAAATTATGGGTGTAAGAACAAACAGAATAAAAATGGTGCTTGGCAATTTTTCGCAGATCTACTAGATCCATATTATGAATTTCAACATCTCAAGACCACTTCTCAACTTCTTGCATGTAGACTCAAATGAATGGAGCTTAGTTAGGAGTATTGAGACTAAAGAATTGATTACTTGCTAAGGATCCACGGTTATTAATTGGTTCCCCAACTTATTTAAAAGTGCATTGTTGGCCTTGGCTCTTATGGCACAAGCTTTGCACTTTGAGTTGATTTATTCTCTCCTCGGTTTTAGCTTCTTAAGCCTAACATTGACAACAACAATGACAATTTGCTCATGATGCGCCTTTTCTGTGAGGGTTCATTCCTTCTACTTTAAGAAAGCAACTTGGAGAGGCGAACCATCATGATAAGGGTCTTCATTAGTTATGCTAACCATCATGATAAGGGTCTTCAGGGTCTTCATTAGTTATGCTATAAGCTGTGAGTGTGATTGTAACAGGGGACTTGACATCAACACTCAAGAGCTTGATGAAATATTGGTTGTATTGGAATGAAGGCTCTGATTGACTAGAATCTAGGGTTCATCCCTTCCACTTTATGGAAGCAACTTAGAGAAGTAAACCATCATGATAAGAGTATTCCTTAGTTATGCTATAAGTGGTGAGAATGATTATAATGTGGGACTTGGCGCAACACTCAAGAGCTTGACAAAATATTGGTTGAATTGGAATGAAGGCTTTGATTGACTAAAATCTAGGAGTTTTTAGTGCATTAAAGCAAAGAATAGATGATGTTGTATTGACCGACTAAAATTGTGTATACAAGAGCATTTGTCACGCAAGTAATATAGAAGTGAATAGAGTATCATTCCCACGCGAATATTCTTTTAGATATTTGAATAACTAAATATTAATTGAAATTTAGCTTATGTTTTATCTAATAACTCAGATTTTGTGATACTTAAAGCTACATATTTGAAAAACCTAAGCCTTAAGCTGACAAGAATTGACTTTGGATCTATGATTTTCTTAGGCGGAATCTTTTAATTATTGTGCTCACGATTTTACCTAAATATATTGTCAATTCAAAATATAGGTGTCTCTTAGTTTTCGTTGGTAACTAGGAAATCTAATCATTCTCGCTAACTAAGTATATGTCTATATTAATTTGTTGGGTGATTGTAAAAAATATGATTTTTATTAGATTGCAAATCTTTGAGTAGTATATGCCTCTATATTTGAAGATTCGTCTGTTTTGTCCTAATTATTCCCTATGACTCTTTTGATGCCTATAACTCATATTAGAATTAAAGATGTGTATGACCAGCACACAAGTAAATTTAAGAACAAAACAAAAGAAAACAAACTATGCAATTTCTTTCATACATCAGCACAAAAGTTACCAAGAGTAGTTTAAATTCATCGCAATTATAGAGGCAATACAAGCTGGTTATGCTTATAAAAGAGAAAAACAAAGATATACTACTTAAACATAAAAAAGAAAAAAACTACTCTATAGAAAACAATTTTAGGAAATGATGAACCCGACCTCAAATATTTTGAATCTAATTCCTGTTGTTGTTGTCCTCGTGCAATCGTCTGCTTTGAACTCACTCTTTTTCTTCTCTCTATTTTCTCCCACTTAACTCTTCACACTTATACACCTATGCTATACTTAACACTCTGTACTGTCATCATTTGACCCTACATCAATAACTCCTTTAAAGATGGTACAATAACTCCTTATGTCAGCTCCAAAATTATTTTGAAATTAAATTTTTAGGGCAGTCCCACTATGGTGTTGAGAAATTAGCATCGTGATCCCGGTAAAATATAGTTGTGTAAAATTTATATAAGTTTGACTTCTCTATGTAACGGTGTCAAAAACTTGATGCAATATTTATTATTAAGAATTAAGCAATTAATGTAAGCAATCAATGTTGGAATTCCACGCAAGTATATTATCGTTATCAAGTAATAAATGATTTTTTATTTAAGCCCCGAATATCGATCCCACGAGGAATGTTTAAATTTGAAATGATAAATTAACTAGAAAATTCACAAATCAAATGAAATTATTGTCACTAATTTCGAATGTGTAAGATGCAATAAAAAATTAAATTATTTAACTACTAGCAAAACTGAAATGCAAAGTTTAAACAGTAACTATTAAACTTTTAAACTATCTTTATGTGATGAAGATTTCTTATGTGAAAAAACATCTTTCTCACTACAATGAGATTTTGGTAAAATGAGATGAGATAAATAATTTTAATATATATTGTGTCAAATAGGAGCAGTTTTAATTCTCTACCCTGATACAGTGTTATAGAAAATCATTGACTAATCCCAAAATCCTATGCTTAGTCCCTAAAGCTGTGGCTAGGCTAGGAAGATACTGGCTCTCACTTCCGAGCTCCCACTTTCCTCTCACCTGAGGGCTAACATCTACACTTCAACACTGGTTTAGTCTGTCACCCTAAAATCTCTAATTCTACACCCAATCAATGTATATTTCCCTATTTATTTGCACTTAATTCTATGAACGAAAAACTCTTTCATGGAATCAAATGTGATCCTTACTCTGTTGTAGAATTCACTCCATTTCTCGGATCATATGTTTCACAACACATTTTAACAATTCAATTGGCTAGATCGAAAAGTAAATTAAGTTCGGAGTTGAAAAATCATCACAATTTATTTTATATTTTAATATTGATACACTCATATTATCTCTTCATTTTATCATATCTCAGAGTAGGGAGAAAGATAAAGAAAACTACTCAAACTTCATGAGAAAGATACGACAAAACACAAATTTCATATATAAAAGAAAGTTCATACAACACTAATAAACAAACAACACTTATCTAAAACTCTTTCTCAAAGCAAATCCCTTGTAGCCTCTCCTAGGACATGTAGGAAGAAATCTCTCACTTTTCTCCTTCTCCAACACTCTTAACGAAGAATTCACACTTAATCTCATCGCAAAGCTCTAAAATCTTAAAGATAAATCGCTAATAGACTCCTGAATGGTGGTGAAATGAAGATGAAAAAAGTGTATGGAGGCGAGGTGTGGCAAAAATAAGCAAGTCAGAATAAAGAGGAGCACCTTTTTTGATCAATTTCGACCCCTAATAGTGCCTAGAGTCGGGTCTTCGATAAGTGCATCCAAAAACCCTTCAAAAAGCGTCCAAATTTGTCGAATCTTCTAGAAACAGGGTCTGAACCGACATTGGCGCCGTCGGCTCCAATATCCCGTATTTAACTTCGCTGCTCTTTATCAAATGGTGTCGTCGATGTTGCTTCTGGTGCCTTCGGCGCTGAGTAAAATCCATCAGCCGTTCTGTAAGTCAGCGCCGTCGGCGCTGAGTATTTCTTCAAAAACTCCATTTTAACTCCAAATTCCATTCTTTTTGCTTCCTT